TGAGCTGCCGCGCAAAATTGTACTTTATATACGGCGAAGAATTATTTTACGCATATTACTGTCCCTCGATAGGGAACTTCGAAAAGCAATTTTCGAATGTTGATTACGTTGATGAAACTCAATTAATCTCAAAAATAAATCTCTGATATTCCGCAGGATTTGCTCATATCTGTTAAAACACTCATTCGTTAGCTCCCCTAGAGGTATGAGAAGAGAAAAAACGAGCGATTAAAATCGCAAGGACGATTTGGCGTATTACATGCCACATATGCGATGGAAAAATTAATTGGTTTCGCGCAGCACAAAATCCTATTGCGCAGTACAAGTTATAATAATAACCAGTATCACAGTCTCTCTCATTTACATGTGTCAAAGAGCATTTTAAATAAATTGCAAAAATTTTAATGAACCTGCAAACTTTTGCAACACGTTTTTAACAATTATTTGCAAACACAAAATGTTAAATAATATATAGCAACATCATGTTGATAAAAATTTTCTGCAAAATCTAATAGAAATTTTTGAATATAATAGTGATTTTCATAAAAAGGTTCCGAATAATATTTTTCATCTCTGCCTCAAGGATCAAGTAAAAATATATCGTCGATATATATTATGTTTCACTGCATTTTTGCACACATTCATAGGTTTCAAGTAAAGATCAGTAAAGATAAATTCATTTATCAGTTGTAAGGATATATCAATAATCACAATATATTGATTTTAATTTGTCATGAAATTTAATGGCGTTTTTTGTTTGCAATATTTATTCTTTAATGTGTATTGTTAAAGTAATATTTAGAGCAAATTGAACAGAAAGAAGTCGTTCGTTCAATTCGGCAAACAAAACGCAAAGTTTCCGTTTAATTGGTGTAAAAAGAACACAATCTGTAATTGCATGAAAATTTCCTCGACCATGAATCGCCGACGACGTTGTTCATCTGCAATAGCAAGTTCTGGAAATTGTCGCGACTAATCTTGTCGCAATGAATTGTAAAAAATACAAACCGTTCGGCGATAAGTACCGCTTTTAATATCCTAATGCACTGCAGAAGAAGCGCGGAAACTCGGAAAAGTTCGTTACTAATCCGCAACTGCGCGAAAGCTTTCATTAAGATCATTCTGAGTTTCTTGAATATACAGCCGAAGCTTCGCGATTCGTAATTACTCGTTAACTAGTAATTACTCGTCAACTAGAAAAAAACACGGCGATTATTGGGTACTTGCCTCGGACGCGCGATATCAAAGACCAAGTTTTATCAGGAGAGCGATTCATCGAACATCTCACCCGTTTTCTCTCATTCTTTTTTCATCTTTGCGAGACGGTTGCAAAAAATTTTTAATTTGCAATTAAAGACCATAAACATGTACGATCTTTGGCTTGAAAGAATTGAGAAAAAAATTTTGACGTCCTACAAGGTTTCTACATTTGCTCGCCCTTTTCAATTCAGTAAGTTTCGAAGTCTCGAGGCACAGAGGCAAGTGAAATGGTTTCCCTGAAGGCCGAATGCCATGTGACAAATTCTAAGTTGCAAGAAGGCAACTCAAGTCGAGAAACTCGAGCCAAGATTGACGTTTCATCGATAGTCGTTACCTTTGTCCTTCTATGAGTAGCACCGATCGTCAGACATCGCCCACTTCCCGAACGAAAAAGACCACGTTCATCTGTGAAATCATCTGTGATCGTCAGATACAGAAATAGTTTTCGACAAGACATTTCGTTCGTCTCGTCGAATTCCTTACTAAATTCTTAATAATCATGCCCATTCTTCCCACCTCGTCGTAAGCTGCTCAAGAAGTTTTATGCAAATGGTAAAATAATTAAATCCAAAGAAAGAATGAGCATTGGATACTGTGATCCGCCCTGAAGAGGTGTCGAAGTTTTAAAAGATTGTCCGCCAAGTTACTGAAAACTTTTACTCAATTGGCTTATCTACTTTAGAGTTGTATCCTGATTCAAGGCGAAAAGAAAAACAGCTCGACAAGTTTCATAAAGATATCAATTTTGCGGGTTAAGAAGCATGCGAACAAGATTCGTCAATTAACAATACAACTGCGGAAAATTGAGATAACATCAAAAGACTCGAACCTGATGTTGCATAAGGCGTATCGCCAATTTGTAGCTAAATACTAGCAGATAGAGTTCCTAGTTGCCACAGGAATAACTTTATATGCAAAAAGAGGATTAATTGATATTCTTGGACTAGTTTATGTCTAAAAAGTAATTCCAGAATTTGCATAATTTCAACATCTAACGAGAAAACTCGTATTATTTGTTAGGAGATTCCAAATGATAAATACAACTACAATAATATCTGATAGAAAAAAAACAACAGAAAAAAAGTTACCAGATTTTTGTTTTCAAAATTACAAAAATTTGTAATTTATCGTATACTGATTTGTAATAACTTTTGCGTCCCGACATTCGCGTTTTCTGATTCTCACAGCTTTTTTCCGTTGCTCTTTTGTCGTTGAAGAACCACATTGCAATATTTAGAATAATTTTCAATATTTAATTTTACCAGAACAAAATAATCTTACTTTGACCGTAATCTTCGCCATTTAATTGATGGTTTGAACTAGGTCTTGCTTTGAAGCTGACATTACGCTTTGTATCTCAATAATCGACTAACACTCGATGTATGCTTGGAACACCGATACGGTGTCTATCACCGTTTATGTCGACGTCACAATTCTGAAAACGGTGTCTGCGTACACATCAAGTATGCACACGTACTCAGCGTGTCAAATTTCGACCGTCGGAAATGTCGACTCAAGGCAAAATCTATCGTTCTGGATCGTTAAGTTTTCTTATATTAATTCTCAGGATTAATAATTATTACATCTTTGAAGTTACTAAAGTTGTTCCAAGTTTGCAAAATTAAAATTTCAAGCGGAAAATCGTGAGAGATTTTTATATTTCTGAACCTTTTTATCTTTGGCATTATAGATGCCTACATGAATAAAAGCTCTTAAGTCCTTTTATTCATACATGCAAATTATATTCATATCAAAATCTCTCTTTTTTTTATCAATAATGGTGTCTGTACGTAAGCGTATTATGTCAGTTTTGTGCCATAACCTTTTGTCCTATTTATACTGAATGCACGACTTTACATTTCTATATTATCGCTGCATTCGATTGCACAATGACCTTTGACCGTGCTCATTGCCTGTTATGCAGTGATGTTTTTTTCTTCTTATTTTCTGCGTATTCAAGGTACAATCAGGAGCATTGAAAGCTATCCACTCGAGTACTCCCACATTTTACAAAGGCATTTACTATATTCTTTATATTTTCTTTTTTTTATGTTAGATAGAAAGTAGTAGGTGGAGGGAAGAGATAATCTCCATCTAACATTCAAGGAAAAAATGGAAACATAAAGAATATAGTAAATGCTTTTGTAAAGTGTGAGAGTACTCGAGTGGATAGCTTTCGATGCTTCTGACTGTACATAGTTGTCATAGCGTAAAAAGTAATTGGAACAATAGGTTTTTTTGTATAATAAAAATAAAAGCAACTGTTCAAACATAACATCAAAATTATTGCTTTTCCATGTTAAACAATTACAATTTCCAATTTTATCAAATCGCTTTTTTTATTTGATTGATAATTTTAATTTTAATAATTTGATAATATGAACGAGAGAAATATTTCGATATCTTGAATAATATACAATATATATTTACATTATATTTTTCATAAATAAAAATTTAATTTTAGCAAACATCAATAAATAATAAAAGAAATATATATAGTCCGCCAATTTGCAAATAAAATCGAAATACTCGATATCCTTGCAAACTGATAAATACGTATTTAGGAACGGATTCGTTTTATTGCTGATGGTGTAGAAGGAAGTTCGGAAAATCTCGAAAAGCCGATTTGCTGGCAACATGTGATATTCTCCAAACATAACAGTAATATTATTACTCGACATGCGATCCGCCAGTCGCGGCCTCGAACTTTTACACGCGCTTGTTACTTTGGGAAGTAAAAATCTCAAAACTTCCCTTATCGTTAAAGGGAACTTTCTCGAAACTCCTGCCTTAAAATATAGAAGTTCTACGTAGGAATATAATTAGGTCTACAACTTTCTATAAATGGATTTCGAAAATACTCAGTATTAGAAAAAAATAATCGTGTAAACAGTGCTTTGAGTTTTATACTCGATATTTTCGCATAATATTCGCTAGTATGCTCAATAAAAGTACTAATAAAATAATTTCCTTGCTTACTCTTCTGGCATAATTGCAATTATTTTAAATACAATGTTAGTCTCTGAATCATTTGGCTCATTTAATGTCTTTATTAATATAATAAAGAAAATATTAATAAATTTTAATTACGGTACGTAATTAACAGCATGTAATTTATAATTAAATCATTCATGCAAAAGTAAAACATTGGCTGCCGTAGGCACAAATATTCCATAATTTGCATTGTAACAAAAATAATAATTCATATTCCCGCATCAAATATTAAACATGCAAACTAACAGTACAACTGATATCTGAAAACATCAAATGTGAAATACAAAGTATAAAGATTGAATATCAAATTTAACACATCGTTATGACATTACAGCATAAATCTCTGATTTAATAAAGTCTGTCGAATAAATCTTACATACTACGAATAAAAACAATAAATAATAAAAAAAAATTCAACCAAATCAGAGAAATATGCATGAAGAAATTCATTGACAAGAGCCGTTAATCACCCGCTACGACGCACTCATTTCGTTAATGTAATCGACGTAGCTTTCAGGACAAGAATCATTTGTCTCGCGGCGACAGCTCGCCGGCATTTTTCGTTATCGCGATTTCATCGCGTGAATAAATTTATGACAGACGTGTCAATATTGCAAGATGTAAATTCGCACTTTTACGAACCACGCTGTCAGTCGTCACGTCGTGGAGAGGCGCGCAGCTGGAGACGCGCCTACGTTCGCGACGCCTGGCGTCGAGCGCGCCAGTAGACGGCGAGCCGTGCTATACAGCGGATGTCGGGTGTAACGTTGAGTCCTACTACTTCCACGGCCTAAGCTACTGCAGACGAGTTCGCTCGCTGTTTTTATGATCTTTAAATGAAACGGAACGCGAGATCACGCGCGCAAGAGTACCGTCGTGTGCCAATGCGTCCTTCGCGATATCGCCTTGAAGAAATAAAAAAAATGCGCAAACTCGTCGCGAAAGTTTAAAAACCAGAAACTGGAGCCGATGTAATCGCGGTGAGCTGAATTCTCAATACGCCAAAAATACGCGAAGGAACTATGCGCTAATTCTTACGTTTTTCTTCCGAATAAATATACAAATCAATTTTGCGCGTCGAAACATCGCAGTTATTTTTAAAAAGTACAGATATATTTCGCATTCTGATCAATGGATTAAAGAAGATATTAAAGAAGAAGAGATGATCTAAAAATACAACAGACTGTCAATAAATTTAAAGCACAGACATTTGATACTTGATCAAAGTAAGAACATACTTCGGAAACAGTTGTTGAGTTATGACACGTCTGCATTATGCATTAGTAAAAGAGTAAAACGGCGGAGCGCATTCTTCATTCTTCTCGCGCGGGAAAGATCAATGTGATCGTAAACGGTGTTTCGGCGTTCATGGTCCGGTTCGTTCGGCTTTAGTACACAACGATGATCTGCTGAATTGACGATCGTAGTGGATCGATGATACCTTGACACTTCATATTGCGTCACAGTGTTCGTAAGTAAAACAAGCTCGCGCACGGAATACCGCGCATTGCTATCGACGCCGTCGTAATCAGAATAGATTCCCTCGTATATCACAACGCATTTAAATGTATAATTCTCATTAATTCACCATTTTCGCACTGTGTTTCCAATAGGATGGGTCTTATTCAAATGAAACGGCTATTAGACATTCGCGTACGCATTGATAGAATGTGATCTTCGCGCGGGGAATGATTATTATAATTAATCTTTAATCACAGGCTATAATAAGTACAGCTCGCCTCACCTAGACGATAATAAATTAATTAATTTAGAAATTAAATGAAATTTTATTGAATATTTAATGCGGTTACAAAAATGTTTAAAACCAATGCGTTAATATAGTATTTAAAACAAAATTTGTTATACATTAAACAATGCTTTATCAGTATTATATATTTTTTATTTGCCTCAAAAATTCTATGAGCTTTTGGTTAAATTTCAATTTTTTTAATTATGCATAATATTGCTGCTTATGTATAAAATGATACGTTCTCATAATTTTTTATTATAAAAATTAATAATAATAATTCTATTAATATTACAATAAGGAGACAAAAAAATGCATTAATACATGAAAGAGGATTTTATCTTCATATTTCTTGCATAATTTTTTAAAATAAAAATATGAATATAATATGAATATAATGAGCTTATAAGTTTCAAAAGTTTTTTAATTATATCAATTTAACTTGTCAAATTTTTTCCGCAGAAATAACATAAATAATAATTATTCAACTAATATAGGCAAACACAGTAAATAAACAGTTTAGTGAAATTAAATTAAAACTAGTAAAACACGTCGGACTTTATGACATTTTGACGAAAAACTATTCCGGAAAAAGAGAAAAATATATTTTAAATATTACAGTCGCTAAAGTTGATCAACAATAATAGTCTCACAATATAATTTATGATTGTCGAAAAAGAGTACTCTTTGACGCTCAATTGAACGATACACGTATATTGCGTCTCGTTTGTGCAATCTGATACGCTTATTTACCGAATCCTATATAGCATCAAAGCTAGTTTCACATTGTGTGCTTGTCATGTGTAGATAGACCTCAAGGCGAAGTTTGCTTAATTCCAGCCTAATTTAACTCACCCCATTAGTCCCCTCAATTTCGTGTGTCATGTCACATTGTTAAATCTTTATAGGTTATTAAAAAAGCCCGTAAAAATAAAAAAAATGTAATTGGTGAAATATATAGCAATATTAATAGTATTTACTATTCCGATCAATGATGTTATAACATATTCGATTCGTGCGCTGCTCGACTATATAAAACCATCACTCAACAGCTTCTATAATTACGCGATAACGAGATCGTAAAATAAATCCCAAATCAACGATGCGAGGCTCTACTGTATACAATTTACATTGCGGAACATCGTAATCCGTCTAAGCGGCGCCAACATAAACAAAGCTTTAAAGATCTTAGCAAAGTAAAACGCTGACTCCGTCTTAGATACGAATATATATTTAAAAACGCACTTTCTTATGGAAATCTTTCTATTTAGATCTCAAGAATTTACGCAGTTTGGAATAACGTATTCGCGAAAAAACATATTTAAAAAACTCAAAAAATAATACAAAAATAATTCAATTTTATCAGAATGCGCAATTGTGTTGAAAAATTATTACGTTTTATATAGCAAATGATTTAATCAAAAAATTTGAATAAAATTTTTTAAAGTAAATTTTAAGTAAATTTTAAGTTATTATCAATAATCTTTAGTGGAAGACTTTACCTCACAAGAAATTACAATCTAATAACAAAGTTATCTCTAATATCGAAATTTGCAAATGGCATGTAACATTATTCCAGAACAGCCAATAACTCTTCACCCTTTAGCATATATTTACATTGAATGCCTCACATTTACATTAAATTCTACGACGCATGCCAATATTATGTTCGTGAGCTTGAAATTTACTAATTAGCGGCGCAATTAAGTGATTAATCTTCATAACATGTATTTCATACTATTGCATGTTAGAAGAACATTAAATATTAAACATTATTATAAAACGATTATGTTATGAAATAATTATAGCATAATTGAATAGAAAAATCTTCAATTAATCTGATTGATTTTCCATTAATACAAATTTAAGGATTAAAGTTGATCAGAAAATCTTTAATTTTCTATAACGAATGTCTTAACGCATTAAATTCAAATAATTTTCTTTACATGGCGGTCAAGAATTCATTAATTTCAAAATATACGATACTAATATTGCGATAAAATAATGATATATCCATATTTACGAACAACATAAAAAATGAACTTTTAAGTTTCAAATAACGAACGAGCAGTATAAAGTAAACGAAAAATAAAATTTAGTTATTTCTATCTTAATACAATTATTATGTATTCTCAAAAGACTCATTAATAAAAATTTCAATTAAAATATTTCCAAGGAAACTTCAAATGCAAATTAGGGGAAGGATAAAGCTCTGCTATTACAAGTTTTTATGTCATTTTCACATTTAGAATTCCAGAAAATATTCATTTAGAAGTAGTTTATCAACTTATGTAATCATATCAGTTGGACAAATCGTATTTAAATGTGTTCATTCTTATCCTGCGCAGTTTCACGTAAAGTTTCGTCGCCGGGTAATTTTCCCGATAAATTCGAACAAGAGTGCAAAGTCGAAAATGTCATGGCAGCAAATCATCATCGTTACATTTAGCAAAGATTACTATCCCAAAGTCGATAGTTCGCAAAAGGATAATACGATTGAAGTAGATTACATCCGGTGCAATTTACACGAGGTGTATATAGGACGTGGCATACGGTGCAAAGATGAACGAGCGATGCTCCCCTTTATCTAATCTTTGAAACTTGATTTATTATTCTTTTCTACGCAGTAGTAGCGACCAATGCCAACTCTGAAAATACCGTTTGTACTGCTTTTCGACAGAATAACGCTGCAGAACCTTTCAACCATGACCTCTCGCTTCCTTCTCATATTTATTCCAAGAGTGAAAAATTAATTTAACGAACAATGAAAGAGTCTGACAAATATTTACTTCCATTCAAAGAAGTTAAATTTTCCGCCACTGCGCTGGATTAAATGACCCACGTTGAAACAGGTAGATAGAATGGCAATTAACCGATCGATAGGATCGGATGATGCTAAAATGAGGATTAGATATTTGACACCTCTGCAACAGGATATGTCAGCAGCGTTTTGCCATCGAAGACCGTATTACAATGTTTCATTTTTAATATCCTCGTATTATTTCCATCAACGCATTGTGCATGGTGTTGTGCTATTTAAAAAAAAAATGTCGTTTCTGTGTCGTTTACACGAAATAGTTTACAGTGATAAAAAATACGAGTTATACGTCACATTCCATTGTTCGTGTTGAATAACGTACGTTTTATTATTATGAAAAAGGGGTAGATCTTGTCGGATAATGCTATAGTTTTAATAAAAAATGTGATAGAAAGAAGATACGTTAATGTCAGCTCCTGCTAATCGATCCTGTTAACGCTGATGACTAATCATTATTTTTATGACCCGTAATTGCGGTATAAGCTATACGTAAAATTATATTTGCACTTGCGGTCTTCCAAAGAACTCTTTCAGAATAAAACATCTGCATTGTCAGAATAAAAAAAATTTATTAATTGCACAATTAATAACATTGTGATAATGTACACGATTGTTTAAGGATCAATGAGACTTTTAATATTGATAAATTCCTCATGCAACGTTATTAAACGATAAATTCGAAGCTGCCAGTTTGGAACTTACTAATTTTATAATGTATGCTGCACAATATATAATGAACTGTCAAATATGCTGCGGAATACTGAAATTTGCGTATATTAAATATTTACAGCGTAAGATTAAAGATTAATCCATCATTTTTGCGCGGAAAATATAATTTTCACGCGTAAAATAAGATTATAATCAGAGCAGAAATGCACGAAGTATATATGTCGTGACTTAATCTCTCCTAAGCTTGATGAAGCAAGTTTAACAATGCAGGTATAACCCTCGACCATTCTCTTTCACGTTATTTCGAGCGCTCGTAAATCATCATTTACGGCGACTATCTCGCGACACTCTCGGGCGAATGTCTCGGGAGCTCAAAAAAAGAAAAATACTTCCGAGTTCATACGTCGTATAACGAATTAAGTAGGTCATTGTTTATTATCGATAGCGTATATTCATGAAATTTATTTTAGTCGTATTCTTATCACTTGGCATAAACTATTAAATAGTACAATCTTGCAAATAACATCGTATTGAGCAAATAAATCAAATAAAATAAGAAAATGGAAGAAAATTTATAAATATTAAAACATTCTAGTTTTCATGATAAAAAAACAACTTTTTAGTTATTTGGTTTGAAAATAGTTAACGAGAGTATCAATTATTGTTTCTAAATGCAAAAATTTAATCAGCGCAACAAGTTAATTTAAACATTCGTTAGAATAGAGTTTAATTTAATTCTCATCATTTTCTTCATGACATTTGAATAACAAAATATTTTGCCACAAAAAACTTCAGCAACTTATGCAACACAATTTCACAATTTTTATTTATTGATATAAGACATTATTTATTTTTTATTTATTATTTATTTATTCTGAGAAAGCAAATTATTCTGGAATTAGCAATTTACACTTGCGAACTTCGAGCGGTCAAAGTAATCAAACTCTAACAAGTAGCTTCCAGTCTCGAAATTACAGACGATTTGTCTTTCCCAAAGTACAATATCATTGAGCTAAATAATATATTGTGGAGTGAGCCTCTTCCACAAGAATCAATGTGTAAGTTTGTGATCAAAGGATAGCAATAGTAGACGGGGACACGTCTTCCTTCCACTTTCACTATCGTGCGTGGGATATTAAAAACTATGACATGAGACAAACGTCCCCGTCCAATATAGCTTTCTTCACAGAGGCCATCCCCACTTCTTCAAGACTCCAATATGTTATATAGCTCACTGAGGGCCGGTCGTTCCAACTATTTGTAGACTTTATCTCTCAGTTACCTAAAATAAATATTAGTAAATATCAGTAACTATTGTTCTATCTGTTGATGAAGTTTACCTACGGGTTAAATTGTTACTACAAAGAAGTAATTTTACTCGGTATTTCCGACCACCGAGTAAGGATTACTGATATTTATTTTAGGTAACCGAGAGATAAAGTCCATCAAGGAGTTGGAATAACCGGCCCTGAACGAACATGCATTTGTGGCATGAGGCGCCACTCTCGAATAACGTTACGTTATTTTTACCGCTACTATTCCGAAGTTAATGATGCTTCATCACATGTTCATCGTGACCGTGTACGACGAAGATTGATTTTACGATGGAACTTAATTGCGTAGCCATAACGATGAGGTATATAAAGAGTTTCGAAATAAACGTGCACGTGTAACAGAATTGTTGCCTAAAAATTTTAAGAGCACGTTTTTCGTCCAATTAAATTCTCTTCGAAGGTTTAATTAAACATCGTTTTTGTAAACAACGTGAAAAATTAAATACAAATTAAAATTTATTTCTAAGACTTACGGAAAACCTCACAAAACATAGGTTTTTTTTTTTTTATTAATAGTAAAACTTCTATAATAACTGACCTCATTCTGAAAAATCGCTCTTTTCTGCAGTTTCTTCACCAAGAGACCATCATTATTTTCTTTCGATCTTGTTATACTAGTTTAGCTATAAGTTCCGATGTGAATAGAATCAGTTCGCACGATTGTTTTTAAAAGTTGTTACTTGCCGCGTAAAGCTCCAATCATATCGAGTGGCAGTCGCGTCTGTTAACGCGAACCACCGTAAATACGTAAAAATATTTCCACGCTCTCGTCGCCGCCGGGATAGACGACAATGGAAAAGTTATTTAAACGAGTTCGAAACTCACAAACGGCGACTACAACGTTATTCGCGGCAACGCAAAATCCTACGGCTGCGATATCATGCATGTTCATAGGAACTCAACAACTGTCACTAATGAATAAACTGGTAATTAAGATCGCTACGCATTCCTTATGAAAAACGTAACATTATAAAGTACGAATTCGATTGTAATAAGTCTTTTCGCGAAATCTTCGTCAAAGATGTTATTTGCACAATTTTGAACAGCTTGTTAAAATTACAATTTTTTCTATTTTACATACAGTTATGAATTAATTACTGTAATCGATAACAATAGTCCAATCTAGGTCATTCTAACTTGCTTCTCAAGTATGGTACTTGTATACTTTCTCCTGTATTTTTCTTTCGAATAATATGCTACTTTCAAAAATACGGTGACACACAATAAACATGTATTACTAAATCATTTATCACTTAAAGATAAGATTCTATTTATTTTAGTATGCCATTTATAAAATGTACGGTTTATTTTTTAGTATTATCTTAGCAAAGAAGGTGATAAATAAAAAAGAAAATATAAATTTAGAATAACGAAAAACATATAATTTTGACTGTTCTCGAAAGCTTAATATATAAAGTTGGATTTAAAATTCCAATATAATATTTCGATAGTTATGTCGATCAAACATATTATTTTTCAAAACAGAAAAAATTAAAAGTGTACAGAATTATAAATGAATTACATACAGAATTATAAGTGTACGGAAATATAAAGTTAAGAGTAGTTCGGAAAATTTGATCGACTGAAATTTACTTTGTTAAAAAACTTGAAATATTTCATTCTTATCTTCCCGAGCCCGCAATATTGTGCGGCTGTAATTTTAATTGAGCAAACTCTGTTTAACGCAACTTAATAACTTTCATAAACTCTGATGAACACTAAATTACGCTCGCGCATTCTCATAAAAGATCCTCTGTGAAAGATCCTCTTTTTATTACTTCGTGAATGAACAAAAAAATCAAAACAATCAATAACAATGAAATAACTATTATACATAATCTCTAATTTACTCAGATACTCCGCTATAAATGCGAAACACAATTCTAGAGAAATTTGGATCACAAATAATTCTTATAAATATATATGAGATCTACAATTTCACACCTCCAGAAGTTCATCGGAGTGTGCTAGGCGTCAAATTATACCACGTGATTTTCACAGGCTTCGACATTATGCAGACTGTTAAAATTTTCCTTTCGACTTCTCACAGATATCGACATAAATTATATGACATAAATGAAGAAAAATTGGTTCAACAAGCATGATGGGGAAAAAAAGAAATGACACGTTCGAAAAAATAGCTAAAATAGAAATAAAACGAGAAAATATTCAATCCTACAATTTCTTTCGAAATAATATTTCATCAAACAATGAAAATGGATTTCACGATTGAAAATTGTAGTTTTTCTTTATTTGTAACTTTTCATTATTTATACTACACTATGACATTCCATTCATTTTGTGCGTTATATTTTTTCTACATATTCGTGCAAATTGGACCATGTTGAAATTAATTTTGCTTTTACAGTTTAAAATAATTTCACGTTAAATATTGGAACTAGTTTGCTAATGCCTTTCGCACGGTGCATTCAGTAGCAAAACAATTCAAATGACGCATAACGCATTTGCATTTCTGATTTTTCTCACGAACGTAAATAATTTGTTCGGTATTTTCAATATTTTTTTTTATCTAGAGAATGTTATAACATTTATATTTGTAAGATTTATAACATTTCAAAGTTATGTTATAATATTATTTTAATTTTTCGCTGTACGCCGTTCTGTACGAAAGCATTTTATTGTATTACGTGTGTGTATTATAATTTCAGCTATTATATTAATATCGCCGAAACCGCATTATGCTATAATCACTACTTTGATCTTCATAATTTCCTATTGCTAACCGCAATCATGGCACATTGCATCGTTATCTAATGTTTTATCGATCCAATCAACCGCAGCATGTGTCTTCAATTGCTATCAATAGACAGATTATGGAGATAAGTCACAAAGCTAGTCAGATGGGTTTAGAGTCCTTATAGGCAAGCAACGGCATGCAGTTTAGTTTGCTGGAAACCATTTCCCCCCCCCCCCATTGAAGTCACAGTTATATTATCATCATCAGACATCTTCGAATAGTAATGCTGAATGCTAATGGATTTTCCCCGTCTAAACACGCAGTTCAATGCCGGGTGATGTCACGTGTCGCACGAAGATCTTTAATTAGCATGCCAATTCGTACGTCAGTTAACGCTTTCGCTTTCAATATTTATCCTAATGAATTAAACATCCTTTGTCACATGGTAACAGCTATATGTGTCACACGCCTACATAGCTTTTCGAAAATTAACAAACGAGTTTAAGTTAACAAACGGGTTTAAGTTTACAAATACAATTAGCGGCAACATTTCATTTATATAGTGCAATAATTGTAAAATAATATTTATCTGCCAAATCAAATTTATACGGAGAAAGAAAATTCTAATGGGCGAAACCTGATATATATATTATCATGCTACTTCACGAGATGAGTTTGTTCTGACGACCGTAAAGTCTCGAATTTCTCAAAATTGAATATATATGCAATTGCATTTAAATTGTTCAGTCAAAAATTCAATTAACCAAAGACTTGCGAAGGAGTCTAATTACCTACCGTTCAAACGAGAAAAGGAAGTTCCTATTAACTTTCACTAAAAATAGAGAAATTTCCTTCAACTTTCTTAAACTGAATTTCGAGTACTGCTATCCCTTTTCGTAGAGTCCTTGCAGTGTGTATTACTCGTCATTAATTTCCAATTGTTATTAAGTGTCAAACTAAATTTTACTACAAAAATAATCATGAATAAAAAATAGAATATTTCTTCTCATATATATGAAATAGTCGTGTGACAAAAAAAGACTATTACAATAGTCAAACTTGTGAAAAAAATATTAGTACTATTATGTGCTAAAAATGATTTATTACAAAAAAACATCGTACATTTGCTATGATTTTTATATTTCGTCAAAAGAAAACGACAGACGAAATTTTTGCGACGAATAAATAAAGCAAAATTATTATGTTTATTAAATCTATTTAATTTGTCAATTAGTATTATTACCAAACAAATTAATCAATTAAAATTTAAGTTCGGGGATTTGATTTTCTCTTTACTCGCTACATTATTTTTTTCATACAAGATATATTGTTAGAAATTACACCTTTCATACCAACGATATTTCCTCTTTAATAGAACGCAAACGTAACCAGTAATATTAACGCATAAAACCTTGATGCGTGTTTTCATATTCGAATGTCTCGGAAATTTCTACTTCTTGCCGCACAGAGATTACGGATATTTTCTGCTCTATTTTCCCGATCTAACGAATTTCTTCGTTCACGAAGGAAACTCCAAACGAACGAAGCGAGCTATAGCGAAACCATGCTCCGTGAAAGCAGCGAAGGGCGATTTTGGTGAAAATGTGGTATCACACCGTCTGAGCGAGACACGAACGAAAAAGACTTCGGTTAAAGCCGCAGAGTGTGTGGGTAGTGCACGTGAGCAAAATCAAGAGTTGTGTGCGTGATCGTGTGTTGCCTCTTGGGCCTCTGTGGCCACGCAGAAACGAGAAAGAACGAAGAAATGGCGGAAAACAGTAGTCATGTCGTACCGGAAAGCATTGTAATTCAATCCGAAGACGAGGAGCGACGAGAGGAACTATATCCCAACGCGGTAAGTATTATAATTAATTCTGTCTGAAAATATGAATGAATAATGAAACGGAAGCGCAAATATCCTTGAAAGTGTGATATTATCCTTAACGTATAATAATAAATTTATTAGACTGTTTAAATTAAAAGCGCATATAAAAATATAAAATGGAATAGAAACTTGAAATGCCAAGATTTAAAATATATGCAAAACTTAAGTTTGAAATTCTAATAATTGATATAATAAAACACAGATCGCAAATTTAAAAGGTCTAATATATTGGATTGATTATAAAACTCCGTCTAATTTTTCAATAAAAATCTGAAAGAACTTTCTGATCAACCTACGGATGAAATGGCTAGATAGCAAAATTTTACCTGTCAATTTTTCAGATATAATGATTACATCGCAAATTTTTTTCTTCTGTTAATCTTTCACTATTTCCTCATCACATCTAAAAATAATCTTTAAAATACACTTTGAAATAAATACATTTAAAAAATATTAAAAGAAAAAATCTCTTGTGTGTGTGTGTAAACTATCTGGCGAAAACTTGTTATTCCTGACTTCACATGAATCTAAAATTAAAGTTTATCACGAGTTCATCCAATTTTCCTAAGGTCTCGTGCTCGTCAGGAAATTAAATCAACGCATGAGAAGTAATTATTTTCGTACCAGCGTAATCTCTACGTTTCTTGGATTTTCTTGCGCAGGTGGAGTGCAAGAACATCGCTGCAGAGGATTACGACACGAAAGACGAGAGGACGACTAGCGAGGAGCGGGAGGAAGCGAATCATCGTAAGGAGGAAACCAGATTGGACCGAGAGCAAAGATTACAAACACAGACGCAGCCGCAAGTGCAGCAGGCCGACACGCAAGCCGACAGGTGAGCACGCGATCCTTCTCTTGTCTTCAGTCAGGTAAATCGATAACGATAGGCCACGTGCCAGAAATGTGGCGCCTTAAAGATTTAATCGCGCTGTTTAACGATAGATTATCTGACTGTAACGAGAACGAGTGCGTTTGAATTTTCTTTTGCTTAAAAAAAATTTTCCAAGATTTAATTCACTGTTATAACTGACCGACGTGATTCATTTAATAAAAATATATATCGTATGTTTTTGAAAATATGGGAAGGAAAATATCGGGATGATTAGTATGAAAGGATGAGTAGGCGGACCAAAGTGGCGCCAGGAAACTTTCACGAACAAAAAACAAGCGTCATCGGGAACAATATTTTTACGACAAAACTTTGGGAAATTGCAACAGTCAAACTTTCCAAAATGTCAGGCAAATATATTATCTATAAGATTCTAAAAATATGTGACTGACGTATATAATTTATTGTTAGTGTGTCAATCTAATTGATTGGATCGAACCAAATTACGCGCAAATTCGGGCGTATTAGATCAGACGTAAAAAAAAATATATATATATTTAATGAAACAAGAATTACGAGATCTACAGCTTACTATCTACTTCAAATATATATTCCATTAAAACAAGAATTTCTGCGACATAAAATGACAGTGTAACACTTCGTAAAGACAATCTTCATTGCTACAGGTGATTTTGTATAATTTTGTGTCTAATAGTTGTCTGGGGAAATTTGCGAGATTCAGAGAGAGATAATATCAGCGGCACAAGGTTCGCAAGAACTGAAAAGCCTTAATGCATTCGCGTACTACGTAATTGCGTCGCATATCTGAATATTATTTGATTAATTAATTCTCATCGTCCAATGGTTTTAAATCACGGAATTTGCAACTACAAAGCAACTACGTGATTTAATGACAGAAATAAAGGAATGTATTTCCACGTATCGTATTATTGCACCTTTATTCACATAGAAATATTAATAAATAATTTATATCTTTTAATATCTTTAGCGTTATATAAAAAATCAATTCTAAATTATTTATTTCATTCTTTCATTTTTTATATTTTTCGAAAACTTTATATTTTACTTTACCTTAGTATTCTTACTTTTACATTAATTTAATATTCTTCAAGAGTTATATATTTCATATTATATTTATATCTTCATAAAAAACGATCAATCCTTTTTAAATTTATAAAATATGGAGTTTATAAAATATTAGATATCGTAAAAGATAAAGAAATGAGGAATGTAAAACAATCTTCTGAATCATGCATTCAGTAAAGCAAATTGAGTGCATTTAAATAAAAAGATAACAAGTTGAATACAGATTACATATTGTGCCCGCGCCGCTGAAATATTGTCTCTCGGTATTACGCTCGTTCGAGAAACTGTGCCGCGTGTGCCGCGAAAAGATCAAGAGATATTGCTTGATGACGGAATCGCGCTTGGTTTTCAACGTCGAGAGGATATGTTTCGCTGGTTTTGAAGAAATTTGCATTGTGTTTCTATTCTATTGCTTATATATATATAGTGCCGTGTTCACTTTTAAGCTGTTCAGTGTTTGTAAAATTCTGCCCTTATTTCACGCGTGCGCATTCGTGAGATACTCCGCATGTGCAATATATTTTGTCTTATTTTTATATTTAAAATATATTCATCCGCGAGTTCACAGTTTTTATTTTAAAATACAAATTTGCATACGGATGAACCCACCCAAGTTTACAGCTTTAATTTGGAAATACAATTATAACTTTTAGCTTTCTAAAACTCAATTTCGAACTAAGCGAAAGTATTATGTGGAATAACTAATTTGCAGAACGCCCAATGTTATTACGAAATCATTATATTGTATTAGAATACTCGTAAAAGTCAATGTTACTTATCTTAATGCCGGATTGACCTTATAATTGATATGCACTGTTACGTATTTTTCTCTCTCTCTTTACTTCCATTTAAAATAGGCCGATTTAATTAAATAAATCGCATCTTTCACAAAACACAAATCCTAAATTATGCTTATAAATTATATTTTTCCCTGCAATACATCAATCGAACAATTGAAAAAGTAAGCGTTATTATTAAACGTTATTACAAGTAGCTACGGGGAAAATGATAAATGAAAGGATTGATAATGCGCAATTAAATTAAAATGAAAACATCAACGTGAAGTCATCGATTAAAATGCCTCAAAATATTCGAAGAGAAATTGAAAGATTTAAAATTATTAATGCTCAACGCGCAACCTTTAGCAAACTGATACATTTTCACCGAGGCACGAGAGAAATCAGTTACCGGTTAATTATAACAAGCTAATTAATTCACGCGCGGCTACGAAGCTCCACAACGGCCGAGTAAATTGAAACTTGTAGAGCGTGGTGCAAAATTGAACGAGCGTGCGATACTGTCGACGATCATCCGTGTAATATCGAAAAAGCCAGCGACACCTGCGATATCTGCGTATCTCGCGGCAGCATCGATGTAATAAATGCAACGGGCGCTGCAAGTGGAATATGCATCTGAACTCCGAATGCACAGCGGAGCGATTTCCCGTATCCAAAAATTTTAGATTCACAAACGCGGATGTAGTTCACGTAATCGATAAAACGGAATCCAATTTGGAATCCAATGAACGCCGACGAAGTTGACGCCACGACGTCGCGTCAAATAGGATTTGCGTTCCACGATATATTGATAAATAATCCGTCGCAGGTGAAAATTTCAGGATTCTCATTAAACTGTTCCGCACGGACATCAGGGACAAACGTCGGCGGAATGTAATTACGTATTATCGAAGGTGAAGCAATAATAGCGGTGTGGAAGAAAATGTAGAGCGGTCGGACGTTAAAGCTTATTATTTCATCGCAGTACAAAATGTCAACACTTAACGAACGTAGACCAATAATTTTCGTTTTAGTAAAACGCCATCGGATACTCTCGTTCGATTAATATCTATAAATTTCAAGCAATTTAAGCAACAATCGCAATACACAATGCGGGACGAGGCGGTCGAATGCGTATTCACCGCAAATAATCAATAATAATTGATAAGCGTGAAATAATTATTGACAAAATATACAGGTTGATTGTATGATGTTCTCAATATCATTGTTGATAATAACGCGGTATCTGTCCATTACCGCCTCATTAATTTTGATACGTGTTTAGCCCACATCAGTTGCATCAATCTTATGTATTATAGGCTAAATGCATGCAATTGAGCAATGACAACAAACGCCCAAATGTATGCAGATTTATACAATACGCATAATTTAACTCCGATATCGAGAAGTACTGTAGCATTGTTAATGGAGGGGAAAACGTGGGCAGAAATAGAATTCTCGTTACAATTAACAAAAACAATTTTTAACTATAAAAAAATAACTATTGCGTATATTTTTTTTAAAACAAATCAAATTGAAACGCCGTTGAAACGCTAATAATTAAAAGTGATTCCAGTATGAAGTATATTTAATTATATTGAGATAATTATATTGCGTTTTTTTTTTCTTTTAAATATTAAAAATTAATTTTTTCTTTATTTGGATTTGGATATAATTAAAATTTTTTATTAGAAATTTATAATTGCGATAAAATATTATCAATACTTTTCGATTGAATTTCAAGTCTTGCATTATTTTAGATTATTACATAATAATTCTGAAAGGAACTAATGTAACAAGACTATTTTCTATATTTCATTCTGGAAATGAAATATATCTAAAATCCTTGCAACAATTCAAGCGTGCAAATACACAAGGATCAATTGAACCAGTAGAGAAATCACGGTGTAGCGTATATGAAACGAGTACGGCTGCCAAAGGATCTGATCATGAAAGGGGCAATCGAATGGAAGGGAAGGTTTTAAAAGATGAAACATGAGCAGCGTGCATATAACATACTGCTGTATGCAACTTCCTACGTTTACTACATCATGTATTATCTATTCTAATCTTATTTTTCGTATATTGTTTCTGCTTTAACACTACACGCAAAGTCATTTTATTTACGAATAGAACTTGATAAACGTTTGTGGACGGGAAAACCCGCGAAACTTTACGTAATGTAAAATTGTTGATAAAAATTTTAGCTTCTTTCTGCGCATATGGGATGCATATACTTATAAGAGTATTCGCAGGTGTGTATTTTTAGCATTAAAAAGTTACGAAACACGTTGTTTATGCGCACACCCGGGACTTCTTTTATATCTGAATCTATTGATCATATAATCTAAAAGACTGCAACATATATTTGCAATATATATACGATATAGCGCGATGTATAATTAGCAGGCTGAGAAAAATATTGAATTTGTACGTGCGAAAAGCACATACGAAATCTGTGACTTTAGCATTACTTCATGAGATGAATACATCGTAAGAGCACTCAATGCGAATTTCTCGAGCTTGTGAAATATGGATAGCGAAATACCCCTTGAGGTGGTCTTTTATACATGTGGCAACCTTTTTCTCTTTCCCTTTTATGTATTTATACATCCGCCTCCACATTGATGTCTACAATGTCGCACGATGTAAACGTAGTGCACGTGCACTAGCAAAACATACGCGCAAGTATATATTTCGAGTTTGATACGTAACACCAGGACAAGCAATCCGCCAGGGACTCGATCCATTTTTTGTCTTTTCAATGGATCGTAACTTTCAAAGCTGCCATTATGCCTTTCTATATTTCCTCGATCGCCTATTTTTTATCCTCTGTCGAAATCGGAAAGTCACATCTACATTCATAATAAGTTTGTAATAATAAATTCGTAAAAATAAGGCCAAATCGAAATGAAGTCAAAATATATCTTACACAGAGAGAGTTAATAAGAAAAAATAACGTACACTACATATCGAAATTATAATAAAAAATCCCTATTCAAAAATTATTCAATTATATGATGAATGGTCACGAAAAATTAATTATATGAATTTTATAACACCGTACTTTTCCTAATTAAAAACACGCTTGCAGATATACGAAGAAAGATTTCATTTCAGATT